CACCTTTGCCTTCTGCAACTTGGACGGTGTGGCTAGAGCTCTTGCTTTGAAGACTGAGGCAAAAAGTCATTAAGCACCTCAGCTTTCTCCACATCCCGGGGAACCAGGTCTCCAGCTTCCTTCCAGAGAGGGCCCACATTTTCCCTAGTCTGCCTTGCAGTATTACTCCTCAACATAGACAAGAACCAGGCTTTAACTCATTCCTCAACGTCTTATGCTGACTGACGTGGTCATTTTGAAATAGTAGTCACTTTTCCCCCACTTTTAATGGAAATGAAAAGGTTAGCCCTGGCACAAAAAGGAGCCTCAATCCTACTATATCAGTGCCTGTGAAGGATTTTGGATATGCACCAGTTCCAGTTGTACCACAAAACTGCATCATCCGTTGCAGAGCAGAAAGGAAAAGACCAGAAATGGTGAAGTATTTTGTTTGACGAACTCCGTGCTTTGATATGGAGAGAAATACCTTCAAATTGCCGAAGAAGAGCTGATCTTGATTACTGGGGTAAAGGACTAGGGAGAGGTATTGGCTGACTTCTGAAGAGTTGTTCTTTCACTTGCTGTGTGCAACTTATGTCTCCACAAGGCCTCATCTGAGCATAGGAAGGAAAGATGTCACAGGAAGATAAAAATCCCAAAGGTCTGTACCAACACATAGCAGAAAGAAGACAATGATGCTGAAAGCAGAGCTGCATGTGGCATTTGCCGCTGGGCTGTGGTGCGTGCGGACAGCCTGCCCTAGAGCGTGTAGCAACGTGGGGTATGCTCATGGGAGCTGCGGTGGGTCACTGGCAGAAGGTAGGAGACACCACCGTGACACTGCATTAAAGCCAAGAAAATGAAGGAGGGCATCATGGCCGATACATAGGAAAGCTTTTATCAAGTGTTTCCCAGTCAGCTGAGTACGCAAAACCCCAGCTCCCGAAGTTCATTCCCTGGCTTCGTCTGTGTGCGAAACTGTCGCTTCTGTGTCAGCCTTTGAACTCCTGTGCCAGCATCAGCCAGTTGGTCCCACCAGCAACCCCAGCCAGCCTTAAGCAATGCACAGGAGTGTTTTGGATGTTGATTATCAGCTGTGATGGAAACAACAATCTGTCTCACAGGTTATCCTTGCTGACCACTTGCTGTGGTCCCAAGCCTTGCGAAAACATCTGGGCTGGGGTTAGTTAACTTTCAAACAAAAAAAAAAGGTGATTTTGGAGTAATTCTGTAAATTCCTTTCACTAGAAAATTACAATAATTGTAGCAAATTCTTTTGTGTTCCTTTCCGACGTGTGTTACTTCTCATTAGCAAATATGTTTGCAGGGGCTCTGTTGTAGTGGCAACCGCACTGTCGTTGCAAGCAGCCACTGCAACGTGGGCTGTGCACCTCATGCAGAGCTCCTGGGGCTTCACAGCTTCAGCTGAAGCTGGAGGAGAATCACCAGGCCTGCTTCCAACTAAACCAAATGGCCCCCAGAATAACACGCTGATACTGGAGTAGAAGTGGGTGGATAATTTTCAGCTGGTTGCTACGTGCCTGCACGAGTCGCAGAGGAGCTGCAGATGACTCTGGGAGCAGACCGGGGCTGAGCTCGCAGCAGCACCTTCTTTGGCCGGTGGAAAGGTTCATCGCAGATCAGATCTGTGGACCTGGAGGTCATTTTTCCTAACAGCCCAGGGCTGAAAACACCAGCCCAAATCCAGCTACATTTAAATGAATAAAGCTGCTCGCACTGACTTCTGAGGGGGCTGGATGAAGGGTCCGGGGTAGAAGTCAGTGCGTGTTCTCGCTGGCTAGTGTGTCTGCACACACCCCCCCCCCCCCCCCCAAGAAAGAATAAAAAATACAGTTGTCATTTTTATTCACAGGCCACCATAAAATCCAATTTGCCTACCTGTTGCTCTGTTGGCGCTTGCACACTAAGTGGGGCTTAAAGCATTTTGGAATTCACAGAGTAGTAAAAATAAGTAATGAAATATATTCATAATATAGCTAGAAAATATATGAGTGGTCTCAACCTGATGTAATTGAAAATGGATTTACCAAACTCAGGCTCAGAACAGTGAGCTTATTTTGTAGCTGCTTTAAGCTATTTGTATCTCTGAGTGAATTTCCAAAAACTCAGCCATCAGTTTTCCTATATTTTGGATGATTTATGACCTGAGTTTGATTTTTCCCCTAGCTGTGTTAGCGGGTGGGAGCAGCCTGATTGTGTGAGTTAGCAGGCGTAGAAGCCACATCTAGACTCCTCAGATTCTCATGATGGCAAATGGAGCAATAATAAAATCCCAGCTGGGGCTTTCTGATAGTCTCTGTTCTATCCTTCTCTCTTCAGTTAGTTTTAGCTTTGATGATTCTGTTTGGCCTGTAGTTTGCTTTGGTCTTCGGCTGTGATGACTGAATTATTTTGAAAAGCTAGAGTAAAATGAAGTTTACTTCCTCAGGAAAAAACAATGGCAGAATAGCTGTGGCCTGATTAACTCTTTTCTCAGCAGATTAGCGCCAATGTAGGTGACTTCTAGTCGGTGGCATTTGTCCTCGCTGCCAGCTTAGGTGTTGATTTCAGGTACTGGGTTTACAGGGGAGAGGGGTGACTAGGTGAAGGTGGGTTGCCTGCCTCTAATGTGACCATCTAGAAAAGTCACAACAGATTTCTCTAGGTCTTGGAAGTGGCCCAAGCTTTATTTGGTTTAGTGAGATTTGATGTGGAATCTCAGTTTTTCGATTATCTTTCCTGTCAAAAGTAGCTACCTAGGACTGACGTGTCCCCAGACGAGCTCCGACAGGGCAGGGCATAGGTGAGGTTGAACCGTATGATTGAGGCTGACACAGGCTTCTGGAAGTCTTATCCATTCTTTGGCGAGTGCAGACACTTCCACTTTCAGAAGAAGCTTGCTTTTCTGTGAGTCTCCTGATAAGGCTGCACCTGGAGCACAGCATCTCCACCAGCTCTTATCCCCCCCCCCGCCGGCGGGTGGACCTGCTGTCGAGAACAACGTGGCCAACCAGCCTTTTCCAGGGTTTTCTACCACTTTGATTTTAACTGTCAAACCCCAGCCTAGTCTGCTTCCTCTTATCACCTGAGCTCCCCAAAGGCGTCCTTGTCTGCCGGGCTCCAGCAGCCCTTGGATTTCAGGCTGGCTCACAATTATAGATATGAAGCTCAAGGATTATCTTGTTACTCTGGCAGGCTTTTGCTTTGTGTGTTTGCAGGCGAGTATTACAGCTTGTGTTAAATAATGAGCAGCTTTAAGCTGACTGGTACTTTATGGTGTTGTTTGTTGGAGCCTGAAAGTCTTCAGCACTGTTTGTGAGTAAAATTTGTACTTTTATTCAGATTTCTGCCAGGGGCCAACCAGTTCTGTGTGGTCTCCAAACCACAAAAATTAAATAAAATTTACAGTCACCTCCTCATTCCTCTAGCTCCTTTGCCCATCATCTGGGCTGTTAAATGCCAACAAATAGGTCTGTAACTAGTGGTGTCCCTCAGGGGTCAGTACTGGGCCCAGTCTTGTTCAACTTCTTCATCAGTTACCTGGATGAAGAGACAGAGTGTACCCTCAGACAGTTTGCTGATGACACCAAACTGGGAGGAGTGGTGGATACACTGGCAGGCTGTGCTGCCATTCAGCGAGACCTGGACAGGTTGGAGAGTTGGGCAGAGAGGAACCTGATGACGTTCAACAAGGGCAAGGGCAGGGTCCTGCACCTGGGCAGGAACAACCCCAGGCACCAGTACAGGCTGGGGCGGACCTGCTGGAGAGCAGCTCTGCGGAGAGGGACCTGGGTGTGCTGGTGGACAACAAGTTGACCATGAGCCAGCAGTGTGCCCTGGCTGCCAAGAAGGCCAATGGTGTCCTGGGGTGCATTAGGAGGAGTGTGGCCAGCAGGTCGAGGGAGGTTCTCCTTCCCCTCTACACTGCCCAGGTGAGGCCTCATCTGAGTGCTGCGTCCAGTTCTGGGCTCCCCAGTTCAAGAAAGACGAGGAACTACTGGAGAGAGTCCAGCGGAGGGCTGGGAGGATGATGAGGGGGCAGGAGCATCTCTCCTACGAGGAGAGGCTGAGGGAGCTGGCTTTGTTCAGCCTGAAGAAGAGAAGGCTGAGAGGGGACCTTAGAAATGCCTCCAAATATCTGCAGGGTGGGTGTCAGGAGGACGGGGCCAGACTCTTTCCAGTGGTGCCCAGCGACAGGACAAGGGGCAACGGGCACAAACTGAAGCAGAGGAAGTTCCGTCTGAACATGATGAAGGACTTCTTCCCTCTGAGGTGTCGGAGCCCTGGCCCAGGCTGCCCAGGGAGGTTGTGGAGTCTCCTTCTGTGGAGATATTCAAGCCCCACCTGGACGTGGTCCTGTGCAGCCTGCTCTGGGTGACCCTGCTTCAGCAGGGGGTTGGACTGGGTGACCCACCCATTGGCCTTCTTTCCAACCAGGGCACACTGCTGGATCAGAAGAAACCAAACCTTGATCTTGGCTAGGATACTGCATAAATAGGAGCGCTCTGTGGGAAGCTTCTCATCCAGTTGCGTGATATGCAGAGGTGGAGATGGATGGTGTGGATGGGGCTCTTGCTCTGGGCACAGTCTTTTATCTGCTTGAGCTACAGGGTGTCATGGCTGGGTTAGCCTCCAGGTGACACCGGTGTGATGCCTCAAGCAATAGACACCTATTGAAGTATTTTCCTCCTGCCAGATATTTTAGTTTTCTGTAATTGGAAAGAGACAGCAAATCTGGGACCCGTCCTCCACACTGTGCACTGGTATTCTGCACCCTGCCTGCTGCAAAGAGGTCACGTTTTGGGGAAGGAACGCAGAAAAACAACATAAGCAGCTGGGCACTCTCTATAGCCATTGTGGTACTCTGAAAAGGATACCCTTTTCACCCAGTGTTGCTGTAGATTTCGTTCTTCTGCTGTGTTCCTTTCGTAATTGCCAATTAAATAAGTATCTTGGACTCAGTTTGTCACTGGTCTAAATTTGTCTGTGTCAGGCAAAGGAAACCAGGTTAGCATTCGGCAATGGAGGTATGTTTTAGGAACAGCAGACTTCTTTAGTTTGAGGAAGAAATATTGACGTGCATGTGGCAAGTTGGCTAATTTTGTCCTCTAGCATAATTTCCTGAAAGAGAAGCAACGGGGTTTATAATTCATTTGATTAAATAATAAATGATACTTTCTCCTACTGCGAAGTAGGCAGCATTTCCAGTCTATGAATCTTCTGTGGATACGAAGGGAGAGACTCTAAATAGTACGTGACCTGGGCTAGTTATTCCCCCTGAGGCACTGCTGCACACCAGAGCACAGTGTCAGCGGCTTGAGCAAGGAACTTGAGGTCAATTAAAGTTTCTTCAAAGTTCGTTTTGTCTCTCTCACTTTGCTTTATTGCTGAACTTCATTGGGGTTTTCTCCAGACCTCACTTCCAGCTGTGGTTTTAAAGACGTGCTGGACCTGTCCACAGCACACAGTGAATGGCTCCAGAATGAACAGTCAGGCATAACCTTTGTCACCTTATCAGCAAAAGTTGCAAAGGAGTTGTCCTTATATACTCTTGTACGTGAATTTGATGATTTTTTTTCTTTGATGGACGTTGAAGTAGTCTGTAGTAAGCCTAGTATTAATTTCACGCTGGGGGCCAATGTATAAAATAATATGCAAAGTGCATCACCGGATTTTTCAAATCTGGATTAAATAATAAATGATACATTTTTTTTTTTTCAAATCTGGATGCTCATTTTCAGTTTCTGAGTTGAGACCAGAGAAACTCTCACCAGGCACTGACTGTCTGCAGGGCCTCTTCGTGCAGCTGGAGAAGGGGCTGCTGAAGAGCCTGCGCGCTTCTGGCCAGAGCCGGTGTCAAAAGAAACCTTCAAGGATGAGCTTGGAACTTGCTGAAATGACAGTGAGTTCCTCTCTGGGTGCCCAGGAGAACGTTATTAAACCCCTGTCTTGTGAGTCCTTTGCGTGCTGGTAGGTTTGCCAAAAGGCACCCAGAAAGCTGTAGCCCGTATGGCCGGGCAGATGGATTCTGTGCGTCATCAGGTGGCTTCAGCAGTAAAGGCTCAATGTTAAGGTGACACAGTCCTTGTGTATTCAGACTGCTGACAGCTGAAGCAGGATGTGTCTTCTTATGCTTGGTAGCTGCTAATCTGTGTTTCTGTCCAGAGCTGGGAGATGCACTGTGTTGGAGAAGATGGAGCTGGATGCACATGGCAAAACATGCTACTGGGTCCGTCGTTAGTTCCAGCCCTGGGTCTTCTCCTATCTATTAGATTGCCCTTAATGAGCATCCTGCATCATTTGAACATACGGTAGACGAAACATCCCATAATTTCTTAAATGTAGTTCAGTTTTAGGATGAAGTTTGCAGGCTTTTCCTCTTCAGGCTTGAGTCGTGCTTTGGGTTAACAGCCCGATTATGCTAATGGCCAGGGCATCTGTAGCCAGGCGCGATGAAGCTTCACCTGGCTCCAGAGCTGCCAGGTCCCATCCTGTGGCCAGTGAACTCTACACTGCTTGAGGCCCAGTTCTATAGAAGCACTTGGAGATAATTTTTGGTCTGAATCTTTAAATCTGGAACATAACTGCTGGTTTTCAGTTGTTGTGCCCCTCACTGTGCCTGTTCCCTAACGGCAGCTGTGTTGCTCTTTGCAGATGATGGGAAGCTGTCCCTGGAGGAGTTCCAGGCCTTTTTCTCTGATGGGACGCTCAGCGAAGAAGAACTTGAGAAGCTCTTTCATACCATTGACTCTGACAACACCAAGTGAGTTCCTTGTGCTGATACCCCTGTTTCAAAGAGCTTTCGGGTCATTGTGTTAATGTGCAGAGGCAGTGCTGCTCTGGAGGGCTGAGCACCGCAGAGGCTGCAGGACCGCAACTTGCTTTGCGAAACTTTGCAGAATCTCCATTTCTGCTTGGTTTGTGTCTAATCATGATGGCCACTATGTCTCCTTTTGTCTTGGTGGTTTTTTCAGGCCATTTTCTTTAGTGCAACCTGATCCTCACGGCATCTGAAATGATGCTTAGTTTTACCCGTGAGGGCATTTAAATGGCTCTTCAGCTTTTCTACTTTATTTAAAAGCTTTGCTGTTCTATAAAAGGTAACGATGTGAATCTCTGTAAGCACTGTCCTATCCAGCTATTTTACACACAACAAACTGGAATGATTCATGGTCTTGCCTCTTTGTAATCTCTCTGTATCCCCTGCACTTGGACCACACCTGCTCTGCCTCCCATCCAGAATCACCCCCGGTGCAGTGGTGGCTCTAGCACTTCATAGCAATGAGCCCCCTTCTCTTCAAGGTGGAATTCAGCTCTGTGGAGGCCATCTCAAGCCCCTCCTCTGCTCCACTCCAGGAGCCTGATGTGGCTGTACTTCTGCCCACACAAAGCCTGGGCAAGGCAGCAATGGGATGGATCCATGAGCAGCACGCCGCTGTCTGCATCGCAGCTGCAATAGCAGCAGGGAAAAGCGGTGGCAGAGGAGGACTCTAGGCATGCTTTAGTTTGATGTTATATCAAAGCTGTAACTAAATGTGGTGCCTGACCGCTCTCACTGAGAATCAAGCTTTTGCAGTCTACGCCAAGCTATCAACGTGATAGACTCATTAGCAGCTGACGTTTCCTTCCCCTCCACCCGCCTTTGCCATCCCTTCCTCACTGCCCCCTCTGAATGCCTTTGCCCCTTAGGAAGGGTCTGAGGTGTTTGTGAGGGCCCTGACAAGTGTCCGGCACCGGCGATGGTTGGGATCAGCACGAAGCCGTGGGGTCTGTGGGGCCGCGGTTGGAGCCCCCCTGGCAGCAGGTAGAGACAGCGCTGGGCACCGGCACAAAGGACCCAACCCACTGGTGATTTTTCTCTTTGCAAGAGGAACTCATCTTCAAAAGCCTGGGTAGTTTAGACTGTTCAGAAATACAAATGAAAGCCAGCTTTGAGCCATATTCCAGTTATTCCAGTGTGACTCTTACTCCTCTAGAGAGAAAAAAATCTCTCCAAAAAGCAGATGAACAGAGAATCCAATTTCAAATGAGAAGTCTTGTAGAAAGTGCTTAAAAAAGTAATAGTCCAGTTAATTATAAAGCCTTCTGGCAACAGGTAGATGGAGTCTTGCCCGTGTGAGTGGTGCATGCTTTGCCACTCATCCAAAATACCCCCTGGAGAGCAGTGATTGCTCTAGAGTACACTGGCACCAAAGCAGCGGACACAGAACTCATCGACCCGGTACAGGGGCTGCTGCTGAAGATGTTTCTGAGAGCAAAGTGAATGTGAGGTTTCTCAAAATCCCATCTTTCCAATGCATGTGCTTCCCAAAGTTTACTCCAGGATCAGAAATGCCAAACACCAGCTTGGTATATACTATTCTCTGAATAATTAATCAAAGGAACTGAAGTTCCTAAAAGTAGCTGAGAATGACCCATCCCTTCTAGTGGTTCCTCTGCAATAGACACTAGATGCTGCGTTAAACGTTGTGGGTCTATTTATTGAGCTCCAGGCGATGGTCCCATGTGGGCTCTCTCTAGATGCTGGGGCTCGAGTGCTCACCTACCTCTGTTCTGAAAGAAGTTCTAGTGCTGTCTGAGCTTACCAGTTTTCGTCTGGCCTTCGAAAGGGTGCGGACCGCTGATACGTAAACTGAGGTGCGCAGGGTTTGTGTGTGGACGTTTCTTCTGGCCTTCCTGAAGTGGGAAATTGGACTGCTGTCGGTTTTTACCTGGGGACTGTAGAGTATCTGCAGCTGGCTCTGAACCTGGGTAGGGGATGTCTTCTAAGCTGGAGAGGAAGAAGATGTGCCGTTTCCAAATGCCATGCAACAGTGCTGCCGGCATGCAGGGTCTCGCTGAGCAGCACCTGAGCGTGGCAAAGAGGTCCCACAATTCAGTAGCATGTTTCCGTTGCCAGGCTGGCTTGATCCAGCCATCAATACCCATCAGGGATCGACATTCACATAGAGCAGTGCAGCATCTGCTCTTCTTGGCTGAAAGGAAAAGCGAGGAGTTGGTCACCCTTCCAAGTTATATCCTTGCATGAAATTGATTTGGAAAGCACAGACACCTACAGCAAATTTGTCAAGTCGGGGAAAGAAAATATTCCTTGTTTGTTCTGTGCAGGAGTTCTCTCAGTCTCCAGAAAGCCTGATTCAGAGCCGGGCTTCCTTGTGCGAGTGCGCTATTCACCGTGAGACGAGCAGTTCGCTTGACCGCAGCCTTGCACCTAGCACAGTCCTTCGAGTTGTGCGTGTGCTCCTCACCTTGCCACCTCCTCTCTCCTCTGCGCAGCAGGCCAGGGGTCTGGGGGGTCGGGCAGGGGGGATGCTGCCTCCAGCCGCCGGCACGCCCCGGCAGAAGGCCTGCAAAGGGGTGGAGTGGGGCTTTCATTTTTCCATTTGACGGGGAACATAGGAGCAATATTAACTTTATCTTTTCCAAAGACTTTTTGAATGACAATCGTTTGCTATTTTGTAGAATTTTTTTTATTTTTATAGCTGTTTTTTGATCCTCGGTTTTATCTCAGTGGTTTTTTTCGTGTTGCCCATGATGTTTGTTTAGTGTGCAAAACAAAGTTTGCTATTGATCAGGAACGTGAAATAAAACGAGGAGCTGGCATGTGACTGCTAGTGACTGATTATTAGTAATTGCTGTTACCAGCCAAATTGCAAAATGTTCATTCAATTTCCTGGAGTATTTTTAGGAGCAGTGAGCTGCCTTACTGGAGCAGAGAAAATCAATGTCTGTATTGGTTTCCTGACTTGCGTCAGTTGGGAAGATGATCGAAGGAAGTTGGGAAGAGGAGTGGGAAAACGCCGTCGGTTGATGATGGAGGAGTAGCTGTGCTGCTGCAGGGAGTCAGCCGCAGTGTGCTTCGGCTGGGAGGTGGGCTGCTGTCCGGGAATCACGGTCCGCCAGTAAAATACCTCCTTGCCAGCAAGGTGTGGTTAGGAGGCTGCTGGACTGAAATGAGACACCTCAAAATAGTCCAAGGGCATTAACGAGGCTCCTTCTTTCTTCTCGACTGCCTGGGAAGTGTCTGTGGGAGGTTAATGGCTTTATTGCCGGGTATCTCTGTAACAGAACCTGCCATCCTTGGCAGGGTGCGAGGACTGTGCTCGAAGTCCCGTCACTGCTGGTTGTTCCAACTGGCAGCAGGAACATGCAAAATGTGTCACATATTTCAATCCTTTTTTTGGCAAAATTGTATTTGTATACCTGCTGTTGCTTAAAAAAAACGATCAAGTGGCGTTTTTCTCTCCATTGCTCACAACGGCTGCCCTCCTTCCCTCCTCCCAACTGAGGCTGGAGGGACAACCAAGACTGCGCAAGGTGGTTTTTCGTTGTTGGTTTTAGCTGCTGTTTCAGGAGGTTTCAGCAGTGCTTTATGAGGAGCTGCCTGAAGATTAATGGGGAGGTAATGATATGTTACTATTAATATCAGTGCTACTGAAATTGCACAAATTATGTGTATGATATGTAGACACACATATTTAAATATATATATTTGGTTTAATGGCAGAACAGGGCTTTAGAAAACATTAGATCGGTGTTCACCTGGGAAATCCTGTTGTATTTGCAGAATTATCTACAACTGTTCTTACCTTTTCTAATGGTATGCATCAATTTTAAAAGGAAAACAGTCCTTGCGAATGGAAAGTCTAACCAGTTTTAGGATCATGAATGTCCAGAAAACATCACTGTGGTACTGCATGAAGCTTGTTTTGCCTGACCCACAGTTCCCATCTTGTTCCAGCTCCCTGGACCAACGCCTACATCCCTCAGAAGGAAAGAGCACCTCTCAGCCCTTGTGAGAGCAGGGGCAGGTCAGACGTGGCTGTTGACTGAACTAGTTTAGTCCTGGCAGGGGATTTTAAAAATTCCTCTTCAATCTGATACATTTTCATAGCTGCAGAGGCCAATCCTTTGGGGAGAGATCTGCTCTCTGCAGCAGACCTTCTCCGATGAGCTGCACAGGTCCATTCACAAGGAGCCAAGAACATGGCATTAGCATTCTGCTTTGCTGTCGTTTATTATCTCTTCACTAGGCTTATAGCTCTTCTGTTAATTGCTTTATTTCCCCCCCACCACCTCCCCTCTCTAAATGAGCTCTTCTCTGCAGTGGCAAACACTAGAAAATGCTGGAGCGTGCATGTGGGATAGTTAACAGCGGCTGTATCTATTTTCAGAAGTCCTTCACAGCTTCCCCAGACTGTCACTTTTGCTGGAGAATCGTAACAAATGGAGAACTGAGGAGAATTGGGTTTTCCAGCCGGTACCGCATTTGGCAGCGTGCAGCCTCCTGCCCTGCGTGGTGGTTTCGTAGGGCTGTGCTCGGGGGGGTAATGATGGGGGGCGGATGGCAAGACGTGATCCCACACTTTTGGATACTGAGCAACATCCTTCCGGCCCTAACCCGCAGCTGCTCAGCTACCCCAGGGAGCCCTGTCATAAATCAGAGTAACTCGGGGTCGCTTTGGGGTGCAGGCAGTACGAAGGGGTGGGAAGGAGTGGAGTGCGGTGTGGGCAGCCATTGCCCTGAGCAGAGCATTCAACCCTGGAGCAAGGGGAGGTACAGCTGTGCAGGACCACCCCAGAAGCAGGTGACGATGCTGATGAACTTCTCTGTCCGTGCTGATTAGCTCCGCTGCAAAGCAGAGCATGTCAGCCTGGGGAGTGCTGCGCCGGCACAGCCGTGCTGCTTCCAGGGGTGGGTTCAGCTCCATCATGTTGGGAGACCGGCAATGCTAGCGCGGATGGGGTGGGAGCCTCGGGGTG